CTTTATTAGCTGAAACATCCATCCAAGTACATTCCGAACCAGACCGACCAGATGTACGATACGACTTTATTCGATGTTTCCCTTCCCGATACGGCTCGAAGCGTACCGGACCACTTTAATGAAACGCGTTTCCTAACGAGACTAGCTCGTAGCTCGACGTTTACCACGTCTTTATTTCAATCTCTTTTGCCTCCTCGATCAGCCTGTCTAATCGCCGAGCGTCACATGCCTGTTCCAAATCCCGTCTTCCTCGCGCCAGTTCCCTGGCGTTGGTGGTTGCGGAATGGCAGAGAGCGAGATACAGGTTGGACAGACGGACACCGGGCAGCACGGTGGATAGAAAGACCTTCAATGTCGTCGAAACGGTACACGAAGACTACCTCGGATCGCGTCTCTTACGCGCATTATCGCGATCTACGTCCACTTTGATTTCGTTTCGCTCGATATCTGCATGCTCTATCGACGCGACTAGCCGGTTCCCCGTGCTCCAGATTGCTCAGGAATTCCTGACGTTTAGACCGAGTTATTGTTCGCTCGAGTGTACGCACCGGGGCAATTTTAATCTCTCCTTGGCCCGCCACACGTACCTGTTCTGTCAGCGCGTTTGATTAAAAGGAGCTCTCGGCTCTGACTAGAGCACGGCCGATTCGCGACAGTCTCGGTTTGCTTCTTTTCGGATATAACAGAGATTCGTGTACGGTCCGCTGGCTAGGACGACGACCCGATTGCTGGTTACGGCTTATCGAAAGTCGCCGGTTTACCCTATCCAGGCTAGCTACCTGTCAGTGGTGCCCCGGACAGGGTTAGCCAGGGATGCCTTCACCGGGAACTCGCTTCTACGCGTCGTGCTCAGTTGCCGTTTCTTCCATTGTAAATGCATGATGGACACTCGGTTGCTTCGTAGGTTCATCCTACGATGAAGGATCGCTAATTTGAACAGGATGATATTCAGAAACGAGGTTTGTACCGGAGATATCGACGCACTCTATCATCGCCAATCCCACGCAACGATCATAGACTACTATGACCGAAGAACTTCCTGGATCGTCTCATAGGATAAGGCGTGATACGATTGCGATTAGGGATGAGACTAGAAACTGATTAATCCCTGAAAAAAGCGGTAAATTTAATAAATTTGGCGAGTGGAGAGTAGTCTAAGGTCGAAAGACTTCGCGACTGGGTAGTTGTGTAACGATGAAAACCGCCTCTGCCACAAAGTCGAATGGAATTCCGATCTGCTCGATGCACGAGGATGGCACGGACTATCATGGAAACGCGGGAAGGAATCTCGAAAGTAGCAAGATTAATCGGTCATTAAATGTATCCCCCTGCGAAATGCTACACTGTCAAGAGTGTATCAACCCCGGGGAACGCATTCCTTTTGTCCGGTACTAGTTACAGCGACGCGGTGGGAAAAAAAAGGAACGAAACAGGGAACGATAGTAGTTAAGGGCTAAACCTGTTTCTCAGGCTCGCATAGCCGCTCCTGTATTTCGATCAAACGTCATTGGCTTTAATTAAGTCTCGAAAACGCTGATCGCGGACGACCATCGATTCGTCTTCTCGCCCACGAATTCGAATTATCGGATTTACCACGATCGACAGTTGGGATGCTGTTCCTCGCGGTGGCAGATAGAAAAATCGTTTCGCAGCGTAGGAGTCTGCAACTATTTTCGCGAGAACGCCTCGTTGCATTTCTTTGGGTGCTGGGATGAGATTTATCACGGGTCTCGAAATGGACGATTAGAAGGCACCTCGGTAGATCAAGACCATGTGCCTTTTGCGCGAAATTAGATTACAAAATGACGATTTTATGGGATCAAGGCGAAATTTTGTCAACGCAATGAGGGAGTATGGAGGATCTCTCTGCAGCAGATATTCGAGCGATTATTAAAATTATCCAGCAACCCAAAGAAACGTCTGCTTCTCGTTGTAACATTAAGCATCCTTATTAGACAATTATTAACGTATAATAACGAACCGAGCTATTGTTTATGCAAAATAGTAACAGAATAAATTAGATAGAAACCACGAACGATAGATGTCGCCATTATCTCATGTGTGGCGCTTTGATCGATGATTGCACATCCATACTAACCAATCATTCATTCTGAATCGTGCCTTTTGCGCGAGATTAGATTACAAAATGACGATTTTATGGGATCAAGGCGAAATTTTGTCAACGCAATGAGGGAGTATGGAGGATCTCTCTGCAGCAGATATTCGAGCGATTATTAAAATTATCCAGCAACCCAAAGAAACGTCTGCTTCTCGTTGTAACATTAAGCATCCTCATTAGACAATTATTAACGTATAATAACGAACCGAGCTATTGTTTATGCAAAATAGTAACAGAATAAATTAGATAGAAACCATGAACGATAGATGTCGCCATTATCTCATGTGTGGCGCTTTGATCGATGATTGCACATCCATACTAACCAATCATTCATTCTGAATCGTGCCTTTTGCGCGAGATTAGATTACAAAATGACGATTTTATGGGATCAAGGCGAAATTTTGTCAACGCAATGAGGGAGTATGGAGGATCTCTCTGCAGCAGATATTCGAGCGATTATTAAAATTATCCAGCAACCCAAAGAAACGTCTGCTTCTCGTTGTAACATTAAGCATCCTCATTAGACAATTATTAACGTATAATAACGAACCGAGCTATTGTTTATGCAAAATAGTAACAGAATAAATTAGATAGAAACCATGAACGATAGATGTCGCCATTATCTCATGTGTGGCGCTTTGATCGATGATTGCACATCCATACTAACCAATCATTCATTCTGAATCGTGCCTTTTGCGCGAGATTAGATTACAAAATGACGATTTTATGGGATCAAGGCGAAATTTTGTCAACGCAATGAGGGAGTATGGAGGATCTCTCTGCAGCAGATATTCGAGCGATTATTAAAATTATCCAGCAACCCAAAGAAACGTCTGCTTCTCGTTGTAACATTAAGCATCCTCATTAGACAATTATTAACGTATAATAACGAACCGAGCTATTGTTTATGCAAAATAGTAACAGAATAAATTAGATAGAAACCATGAACGATAGATGTCGCCATTATCTCATGTGTGGCGCTTTGATCGATGATTGCACATCCATACTAACCAATCATTCATTCTGAATCGTGCCTTTTGCGCGAGATTAGATTACAAAATGACGATTTTATGGGATCAAGGCGAAATTTTGTCAACGCAATGAGGGAGTATGGAGGATCTCTCTGCAGCAGATATTCGAGCGATTATTAAAATTATCCAGCAACCCAAAGAAACGTCTGCTTCTCGTTGTAACATTAAGCATCCTCATTAGACAATTATTAACGTATAATAACGAACCGAGCTATTGTTTATGCAAAATAGTAACAGAATAAATTAGATAGAAACCATGAACGATAGATGTCGCCATTATCTCATGTGTGGCGCTTTGATCGATGATTGCACATCCATACTAACCAATCATTCATTCTGAATCGTGCCTTTTGCGCGAAATTAGATTACAAAATGACGATTTTATGGGATCAAGGCGAAATTTTGTCAACGCAATGAGGGAGTATGGAGGATCTCTCTGCAGCAGATCTTCGAGCGATTATTAAAATTATCCAGCAACCCAAAGAAACGTCTGCTTCTCGTTGTAACATTAAGCATCCTCATTAGACAATTATTAACGTATAATAACGAACCGAGATATTGTTTATGCAAAATAGTAACAGAATAAATTAGATAGAAACCATGAACGATAGATGTCGCCATTATCTCATGTGTGGCGCTCTGATCGATGATTGCACATCCATACTAACCAATCATTCATTCTGAATCGTGCCTCTAAAATGAGAGGGTCGTATATCCTGCATAAGGTCAATTATCCGGCATACAAAAATTAATCCAAGTATTCAAGTGTGAAACCAAAGCGATCCAATCCATTCATTTGTTTATCGTATATGTACAATTTATAACGAGAAACATTTATAATACATTGTTTGCCTAGTTCATTTAAAAACCATTTCTTGACTTTGTCAACCTCATTCCACGAGTTTATTTAACACTAGGTTTACAAACGCTATCTGTATACCTATTTCTAAGCACACCTGTCAAATTGACAGATAAAGGAAACCACGTGCCACTTTTTCAACGATTAGTTTAATTTAAAAACAATTATATATTATATTAACAGTCTTAATATAAGATAACTAAATCTGTTATCATCGTATAATTGAAGCAACCCTTCCGTCAAATCTGGCGTTAAAAATGTCTCTAATCGAAAAATCGTTGTATCGCGCAAATCGAGAATCGCTGTCGTAATCTTCGAATCAGAATCTTCGTAAAAATTCGAATTTTATAACCTTCCCTCGCTTGATCTCACGAATGAATAGTAATTCCTGCCAGAAAATATTGGTACCGATACTGCACAAATGACCACCTTCGCAAACGAATAATAATAACTTTCCAAAAATAGCGTAAAAACATCGAACAAATTACTGGGAAACATTTCAATCTTCGCAACGCAACAGTAACAAATTCCAGGGAAAAAAAAAAAAAAAAAAAAAAAACACCATAGGGAATCCAACATTTCTGCCATTTCTATCGCTTCCACTGTTCCTATAGTACCTTGACAAACTTCATAGTAACAGCTCCTCTTTGAGAAAAAATCCCGCAAGAACACCCGACAAACTACCATGGAGCATTTCTACCCTAACACAGAGCTCGTTAAAACGGAATCATTTACCGAACCCGTCATCCGTGCTTCGAAAGCCGTCCCGTACGGTCGATTCTCTTTTCCCTGCTGCATTTCTGTAATTTAGATGGTCGCGATAGCGTATCACGGAATAGGAAGAGGTGGAGAGGAAGCGGTGGACGTCGCGTGGCACTCGGCCGCTCGGTTTTCTTTCCCGAGGAATGCCCAGGCCGTCTGTCGGAGGCGTGCTACGGGGCGATTTTATCGAAAGGTAGAGCAACTTTTTCTCATAGACAGCTTGACTTACCGAGCCGTAAAGAAGACCACAGGAATCCATGCACAGGTACAGGCAGGTCGCGACACCTTGGATCCTCAGCTGACCCCTGGACACGGACGTTCGTTGAAATATCGCTGGAAAAATAGAAGAAAAATAGAGTTAATGGCGATGAAGCGAAGGCGCATTACCATGCGATTCGATCGAGTTTAGTATCGATTAAGCGACGATGGGACCTCATTTACCGGCTAATTTTCTGATAAGAGGCTGCACCTTGCGAGGCAACTAGGTAAAGACCTATTGATTTACTCCGGCTACTAATCTGTGTACCAGTCACGCTGCACGGCTATTAGCGGATAATAGCCGAAGCGTAGATTAATAATTTATCCTCCGCTTAGCTTTGCTCGAAGAATAGCCTGTAATACGATTTCCATCCAACCCGAATGCGCCTGGAACACCGTATTCGCTCTCAAACTCGTCCTTTCATTCGAGACCCTTCTTCTTGCACACCGGCTACCTATTCCAGCCCCAACACGGCTCAACCAACGGATTCAAGAGTGCATTCGATCGTAGATGAGTTTTCGTAGCCAAAAACAGCGACAGCGAGCAATACTCTGGCAAGCAAGACCTACACGTAGCTATCCTACATTTCGCGAATCCATCAAAGTCTGTTCGAAGCCTGCCAAGAAGGTCACTGGCTTTTTTTCCGACCGATTTTCCGCAGGCTCATGGACTCGAGGTCCATTTATCCTCCGGGGCCGGATGTACCATGCTTCGACTCGCCCCTCACTCAACTCCGCAGTGTAATTATTACCATTTTTCACCGTATGGAAATACAAAATATACATCGCGCCGCATTTTTGACAATTCCACCGGCGAATCGAGCGCCGAGTCGGCCTCAAGGTATCGATTATGGGAATTGAAATACGTTAAGGGACGAGTAATCAAATGTTTTGTCGGTTGAGAAAGCTCGAGTCCCGGATCGCTACTTATCGATAACATCGCAGGGACATGTTGCAAATAATAACTGTCTCTTCTCTGTTCCCTCTCAGCCGGCGTTTTACGATTATGTTTGCCGCGTGTTACACCGCGGACGGTCATTAATTTAATGTTTCCCGGCTAAAAATCATTGTAATAATATTGTAGTAGGTACCGGCGGTTTAATTGAAGTTTCAGAAGCCAGAGAGGAAATCGAATTACGCCTGCATGGCCCCTGTGGACGTTGGAATTAATACGAGATTCTGGGTCGGCGATTTTCCTCCTGGCAGAACTGCTTCCATTTTATTTCGTGTTTTATATTCCCTTGCCAAGGTTTCCGTGGATGATACATTTGCGAGAGTGGAAATCTCTTCGAGTATATCGGGAAATATTATCATCGGATGTATCCATTAGATGGGTATCGCGATTTTAATATCGTAATCTGGATTACACGGTCGTTCGAATGGAATTATCCCAATACTCGGATGTTTTTAGAGCGAGTAGTTGTTTATATTATACACGAGTAACAGACAGCGGCGATTCATCAGACTATTTACCAAAAATGTCCCTAAACCGACAGATCCCTTTTTCAAAAACAGCCTCGAACAATGCATTAGAATTGCTAACAGGTGTCAACGGAGAGGATACTTCGATGATCTAAACCGTTCTAATAGTTGGAGTAGATAATAGCGATTTCAGTGGTACGATGAACATAAGCGAATATAACGCTAAACCTACCACAGCCGGTGAAATTGACCGGTAGGTGGGAAAAAGGGAGGAAGAAAAATCTTCAAAGAATGAAATAAAATATTAAAAAATCGATTATACGTATATTAGAAAACAAATTACGCTGTCAAGTGACTATAGCGACAACAAAGCTTTCAAAATAGCCATTTAAGTCGTGACAGGTTTAGGGTTAATTACAGCTCTAAAGGGAGGAAGAAAAATCTTCAAAGAAAGAAATAAAATATTGAACAATCGATTATACGTATACTAGAAAACAAATTACGCTGTCAAGTGACTATAGCGACAACAAAGCTTTCAAAATAGCCATTTAAGTCGTGACAGGTTTAGGGTTAATTACAGCTCTAAAGGGAGGAAGAAAAATCTTCAAAGAAAGAAATAAAATATTAAAAAATCGATTATACGTATACTAGAAAACAAATTACGCTGCCAAGTGACTATAGCGACAACAAAGTTTTCAAAATAGACATTTAAGTCGTGGTAGGTTTAGCGTTGCAGCTCTATCTCGGTACGAGTCAACGCTAATTTTTAACGGCTTGTCCTGAATTAATTTAACAAAGTGAACAAAATTTCTTTCCCATCCTAGGAGATGGCAGGACACGTTGGAACACTCGGATTGCGATCAGCTAAAAATTTTCTAAGCTCTAACAGCTCTGAAATCTATGGACACCTTTACCACACCCGCAGTCCGGCAGCCATATTATAGCGAAACGTCGTACAACGTTTGCAGGAGTGAATGGATTATCCCTTTGCACTCGAGAAGTGCTTCTCAGTCACCATTTAATCGGATTCTAAAGATCGTTGTTAACTAATATCTCGAATTTAAAATTGCCCAGCGACGCGTGGAATATCTAGGTAAGTTCTACGTCTTCCAATTAATTTGCATTTCTTATATACTGCTTTGAAAATATCGTCGACATTATGGCAGAAAGTCCTCGAATTACTATTTTCCTGTAACGACAATATCGCCGAGTGCAAAGGGTTAACCGCATTTAAGAATTAAAACGCAAGGTACACATCGACGCGAACCGCGGTGTGAAATTTGTGATGCACATTCGAAACTGAGACCTAATCACGCGTGTATCTCTGCATTGATATACTGATTCTATTAGTAAGATGTGTATAATCGATGACGGAAACACGGCTGAGTCGTAAGCTAGGTGAGGCGCGAACAAGGGCGCGTTCAAATGAGCAGAATAAACCAAAACGAAGAGGAACAATCAAACAAGGACTGCTTTCCAGTAGCTGAAACGAGAATATCAATTCCCGTGCCGGCTTAAATAACGTTTCTAGAATTCACTATGAGAGACCCTTTCGTCTAATAAAGGGAAAATACGAGCTTGTCGATACACGGATAATCTTTTCCTAACGAATGGGCAGGTGTGAGAATTTATCGGTTATGCGAATTTCATGCAAGGAGACCAATAGCCGTGGGCCTTATATGTTGTTGACTTATCTTTATGTCCCAGGTAACCGAAGAGTAGATTCGTTTACCGTGGCCGACACGAATTTACAGAAATTCACGTAGGTGTTATGCCAAGTTAAAAAGTGATATAGTTCCAGTCTGTGTACCTTGGCATGGAATGGACTATTTAAAATGGAATTTCGCTGTTGCACGTATCATTGTGTTCTTTAAAGCAACGACAGTTTAGTACGAAAGGTAAGTATAACGAGGTGCATTTTATATATGATACTTCCCAACAACGTAGCGTAATATACTAAAAGTATTGTAACACATGTTCTCCATGTAGATTTATATAGCATCGTTTCACGAGTGCTGGTTCGCTTGCATAACGCTATTATATAGAAGGCACTATTACAATATTACATTCGAGGTTATAATCGAGGGTTTAAAACGTAATATCGATTTCAGTTCTCTAGATAATTTCAGAGAACCGTTATCTGCTATGACTTACGAAGAACCGAAGTCCCAGGTGAAATGGGTGTATCGATATCGGTTATGGTTCGCGCGTAAAACTGTCAATGCTGTTATTAACAGGAATTTATACGCGGAATGGAATCTCGAAAAATGAAAAAATATCAATTTCTGTCTGAATAAAACACACATGCGCCATTATATCTTAAAATACGTACTGAAAATAAATAAGCGTGTACAACTGTGAGCCTGTGTTAGTAGAAGTCACCAGAAATACCCGATACGAATGTTTTCACTAGGAAACTCATTTTGACAGGTTTTGGCACGGTAACACTAAACTCACTATGACCGGTATACTAACTGGCGGGTAAAAGTGAGAAGGAATTAAAATTTACAGAAAAGTAGGAAAAAATGATTACTGTATATTAGAAGAAAAATATCGCAAAATCGATCAAAATTACCAAAAGCGATGTCAAATGTGGAATTTTAAATCGAAAGTTTGAAAATGATCTACTAACTTAAATTCCTGTTATTGGCGCTAGGACTACCAAGGGGATGAAAATAACTAGTTTCGGATATTTTATTTTGAGAAAAATTTATGCTTGTCATAAATTACCAAATTATGCTTGGTAATAAGAACTACCAAAGGGATGAAAATAACTAGTTTCGGATATTTTACTTTTAGAAAAATTTACCAAGCATAATTTCGTAATTCGACAAGCATGAATTTTCGTCAAAAGCAAATTTTTGTCAAAATAAAATATCCGAAACTAGTTAGTTTCATCCCTTTGGTAGTTCTAGTGTCAACGAGATTACCTTCATCCCTGTAAAATATACGTAGCTACTCGTCAGTAGATCAGTAGTTTTAGTGCGAATCACCGTATAACAAAGTAGAATACTTTTACTCATAAACGCAATGGCCGTGTGCTATAAATTTTGTCGATTAGTTGGAAAAAGCATGAATTTTCGTCAAAAGCAAATTTTTGTCAAAATAAAATATCCGAAACTAGTTAGTTTCATCCCTTTGGTAGTTCTAGTGTCAACGCGATTACCTTCATCCCTGTAAAATATACGTAGCTACTCGTCAGTAAATCAGTAGTTTTAGTCCGAATCATCGTATAACAAAGTAGAATACTTTTACTCATAAACGCAATGGCCGTGTGCTATAAATTTTGTCGATTAGTAGGAAAAAGCATGAATTTTCGTCAAAAGAAAATTTTTGTCAAAATAGAATATCCGAAACTAGTTAGTTTCATCCCTTTGGTAGTTCTAGTGTCAACGAGATTACCTTCATCCCTGTAAAATATACGTAGCTACTCGTTAGTAGATCAGTAGTTTTAGTGCGAATCACCGTATAACAAAGTAGAATACTTTTACTCATAAACGCAATGGCCGTGTGCTATAAATTTTGTCGATTAGTTGGAAAAAGCATGAATTTTCGTCAAAAGCAAATTTTTGTCAAAATAAAATATCCGAAACTAGTTAGTTTCATCCCTTTGGTAGTTCTAGTATCAACGCGATTACCTTCATCCCTGTAAA